ATCTTTGGGCTAGTCAGAGTGAGGACTGCTATTTTTGTTATCTGTTTGCTTTGAGACCGGGACTCCTGTAGCCTAAGCTGGCCTTGAACTCTCTATGTAGTTGAGAGTGAACTGAACTTGTGTCTGATTCTCCCACCTCTATTTCCAGGGTGTAAACTACAGGTGTGTACCACTGTGCCTGATTTAAATGGTGATGGGGTTGGCCTCCTGTGTACTAGGCAGGTCCTCTAACAATTAGGTCCTAGCCTCAGCCTCAGGACTGTACTTTAAAATGCTTCTAGAAATATTTCCACAAAGTATTTTAAGACACTAGCAGTATCTGAGAAGCAAGCATAAAGACGAAATGACAAAGCCCACTATCCAGGGAGTGTATTGCTTCTCTCCCATGCTTGTCAACTGAATAACACCTTTAAAAGGCTGGAGAGTTCCTCATGTCTAACGTGAAGCAAAAGTTTTGGTTGTCTGTTTTTATAAAGAGTCAAATGGAAATACCAGTGTCACATGAGAGCAGGGGGAGAAAAATTCAGGAAGTAAACAAATTTCTTCTCTTTGGAAAGTTCCTGAAACTTAGGAAAGCTTTTCCTGGGGTTATATAACAACCACTGGAGGATGAGGCGCACTGCCTGCAGCTGTGTGAGGAACTGAAGGAAAACAGCTTCTGTGAGCCATCACTCATGCTGGGCTCAGAATTTGAGTGATGGAGATGCCTTTGAGTCATACACATTTCAGTAGGGAACCTTAATAAATTTTGGTTCACTAAAAGTTAGACTTGGTATAATCATTCATTTGTCTGTTGTCGGTGCCCTATCTGAGCTAAGCAGGCATTTGCTCACATCTCCTCCCCAAAAAAGTAACACAACACAACCATCTGTGTTACATTTTGGCAAAGAATCTAGTTGCATTCTGTCCCAATAATGAGAAATTAAAGAGGCTGGACTCAAAAGCAATGAAATTGTTTGGTGGAGGGAATGAGAAGGTATAATAGCATTCAGGTTGTGACATGATTTCTGACCAATGATCTTATCTACTTCGACAGTTAAAGTGAGTGGCAAGTAGAATAAAAGATGTGATCTGATCCACAAGCATGAGGAAAATAGAAAGCTACCTGGGAATGTTGTGGGTTTTTAAAACCTCAAAATCCAACCCTAGTGACACATCTCAACCAATAAGGCCACATCTACTAATCCTGGCCAAACAGTTCCACTAACTGAGGTCACATATTCAAATATATGAGGCCAATTTCATTCAAACTATCACAACCACTGAGCTATCTCTCCAGTTCAAGATTTTTTTTTAGAAGTTTTTAAAGAAGGTTTTACATGAAAAAACCAGCAGCTGGAAGAAAACTGAACCCATCTCTGGCCCTGAGGCACCAATTCTGAAAGTGAGCAGCTTTTGATGATAAAATGATAAGAGCAAAACCCCAGGGGAGAAGTGAATCACAGATGTACACACACACACACACACACACACACACACAATCAGCACAGCACAGCAAAGGCCCTATTCAAGTGGACTTAGGCTGCTATCAAAAGCAAAGGGACTTCAGCAGAGAAGAGACTAAAAACCCTAGAGAGAAAAAGGCAAGCAAGATACATGAAAGACAGCCAGGCACATGAAGAAGCCACCTGAGGCTAGAACATGCCAGTGTCACACACTGGATTAGAAGCTGGTTGTATACAAACCTAGAAGGCTTCTGGGAAGGGAAGCCAATGTGATGGCTCTGCAGGCAGTTCTGCAGGCAGTTCTTTCACCATTACTGCCATCAACATGTGCTTACCAAGATCCACAAGCACAGATGTCAAGGAAGGGAGGCAGAGAGGCTACCAGAGAACCAGCCTTTACACACAAAGCTTGCTGGGAAGCTGAAGGGGGGATTACCTGGCCCATAAACACTGACCTTCTAGAGGCCACAGAAGGAAAGGAGACAATGGGCCAGCATCTAGAACTCACACAGACACCAGCACATCACTGTGGAAATAGCTTAGCAGGAAATGGATAAAGGGTACAGACAGGTGATTCACAAAGATGGGACAAACCTGCAGAAAAAACACCTACCTTGCTGGTATTCCAAGTCAAGGGAGGAAAGCGGGTGGATGGCCTGATGATACATATATTTTCTATAGGAATAAATAACAAAATGCTGACAAGAAATAGTATACTGGGAGCATCTTACAGGGTGGTATGGGTGCCCCTTCTCAAAGATCCCACTTCTGGAAAAATTCCTGGAGGAACTCACACGTAAGTCCACAGGAGATATTTACCAAGTGTTCACTGTAGCAGCATATATGCAGAGAAACAAAAAATATTCTAAATGTTCCCTTAGGCTGAGAAAGGTGATCCAAATATTAGGATTTCTGCAATTTTTGAGACCCCCCCTCAAAGAAATAAATAAGATCCACAGTCAAGTTTTAACACTATCATAAAGAAAACTACATCGCACTACAGCACACATTGTTCATGCACATAGACATGTCAGTATAAAACACCAGTGCAGATCACAGTGTGGTTCACACAGGATGTCACAGTACACATAGCTCTTACGTCCACTGAACACAACTATAGATTCTGAACAGAATGCATGGAGCAGCTACTTAAGATCTACGACAGGTAACCAGCATATGAGCTGAGGCAATGAGAACAGAGCATGAAGTACCACCAAACCATAGCTTCCATTGGCCTGCACTCAGACTACACAGAAGGCTCTAGCTCAGTCTTGAGAAGAAAAGAGGGGAGGTCTAGTGGCAGCCACAATGATAGAAGGAGCTCCAGGCAACACATTGCTGCAGAAGGGAATGCTTCCCCATCTTGAAGATCTCAATAGCTGCAGACAGAGTTAAGTAGAAGGCACAACAATACTTTAGGCCACACCACACTTCAGCATTCTAGATGGGAACTAAAAAAGGAAGCTTTGGGGGAACAAGAGAGCAGCACAGGCATCCTGGAGGGTCAGCCATTCAGGAAAGTAATCCCACAGTACTATCTGTAAATTTCAAGCCTCACCTCAAGCTGGGCGAGTGTGGACCTCATCATATACAGCATTCTTCCCTGGGCCTCCCACAGGTCCCTGGCAGGCACGAGGAAACACACAGGGCAGCTCCACTAGCATGGGAAACAGCAGGTAAAGACATTCTAGATATGGGGCTGATACTGAAACCATACTGCAACCTGTAACTCAAATCCAACTGTACTGCTGCATTTTCCAAAGGTTTTAAACATGAGGCTCCTAACATAATATTCCCAATGCCCAGGATGCATCCAAAATTATTAGAATATAAAGAGAAAAAGAAACTATCAACTACATGGGAAAAGAGACGCCAAGGCCAAGATGACACAGGTGTTGGAAGTATCTGCCATAGACTTTAAAGAGACTAATGAACTAAATAAGATAAATCTGCAACACATAAGATTTCCAACACACTTGGAAGAATGTATCACAGGAAGAACCCTAATACCCTCAAATTTTCCTGAGATGGGGCTATTATGTCAGCACAGGAATGCTTGTCTTGTGAAAAGCACTAGGTTCCATTCCCAGCACTGACCCCAAAAAAAGAAAAAAATATTTCCTGGCCTAATCTCCAAGACTATATTTACATCACACTCTGATAAAGTTAAATTACCTTCCTTGCAAAGGAGTTTCTGCAGATGCAATCAATCACGATTACTAATCAACAGGCTCTGAGCTGATTAAAAATGTTTATCTAATATGCCTAATCTAAACGCATGAGCCCACAGAAAGCAACAGAGGAAGTCTGATACACACTGTGATGGATAATCATTATCAACTCAACTGGATTTATAATCACCATGGAAAAGCGACTCTGAAAATGTTTCCAGGAAGGTTGAATTCAGAGGAGAGACCACTCTGAATACAAATAGTACCATCCTATGGTCTGGGGTTCTGGACTGAATAAAAAGGATAAAGTGGACTGGTGAGATGTTTCTTTGGGTAAGTATTTCCCACTAAGCCTGGCTGTCTTGTATTCAATTCTTGGAGCCCATAGAGGGAACTGATGCCTATTAGATGTCCTCTAAGCTCCACATACATACTATACTGTGCACACAAATTCATGAGGAGCACACATATGCACAAAGATAAATAAGCAAATAGTATAAAATACTTTCCAAAAGGAGAAACAGAGCTGAGTACCAGCATTCTCCCTCTGTTTCCTGACTATGGATGCCATGTGACCAGCTGCCTCACATTCCTGCCACAACACCTTCCCTGCCTTGAGGGGCTACACCCTCAAACTGTGAACATAAACAAAGTTTTCATTCTTTAAACTGCTCTTGTCATAGTAACCAGAAAGGTAACAAATACAGATGTCAAGTATAAAAGGCTGTGGCATGACAGTGGGCCATGTGAGAAAGATGCAGTTAAGCCTGGACAGGATTCAGCTGGCCACCTAAAAGAATAGAACAAGGAAGCATATTCTCCCAGAGCCTTCCCACAGCGTCCTGCTGCACCACCTTGACTTTGACCTTATGAGATACCCAGCAGAGGATCTGGCCAAGCTACCTCAGATCCTGACCTTCAACACTGTGAGATACAAAATAGAAATTTGTTGTGATTCATTAAAATGATTTCATAAAAAAATAGCTACAAAATTTAGTACCTGGGTAGGAAATTACCTCAGAGTTCATTCTGAGGCCACTAGAAACATGACCCTGAAATATTTAGGATCCATTGATCACTCTAAGGGGTAAATGTTCCTTTTCTTGATTCATTTTTTTCCTGAAATACTGTTTAACCCAACACTCAGCAGGCTAAAGCAGGAGGAACATGAGTTCAAGGTGAGCTTAGACTACACATCAACCCTTTCTCAAATAAAATTAGATAAAATATGACCTAAGATATAACACATCCTTTAAATTCTCAGGCAATTTGTTTCCTATTTTTTAGAACTACTACAAGATCAACTGTGTTTACTTAAAGAGAGGTTCCATCAGCATATTCTAGGCACTGCAGGTTGAGAGACTGTGAGTTATTGTCTACATACACTTTGAGTTTGGTGCACTGGCCAGGCTTTAAGTCCCCCAGCAGCTGCAACATGGTGTCCAAGAGCACCCGACTGGAATTCACCAAGAATTCACGACCACATGCAATGGCAGCAACATCTGCAAAAGACAGAACGAAGCATCAAGACCACAGGCGCAGCACAGAGCACATAACAGTGGACAGAGAGAAGTGACTCTACCAGTTTTCCTCTAACTTCCACACACGCGTCATGGCATGAACACACCTGCATTTTCACTCTACCTATCTCTTGTCTTGCTCACACACACACACACACACACACACACACACAATAATAGTAAGAGTAATAATTAATGATAAATAATAAATAATAAGCTTTTTTCTAAAAGACCACAGGTGCTTCACAATCTGAAAAATTCCGACTAGCAGATAGTATATTCCCTGACTACAGACTCAAGGAAAGCAGCATTTAACAATGGTGCTATTCAATTGATGCAAAAATACTAAATAAAATACTGGCAAATCTAATTAAAGAACACATCAGAACCATCATCCACCACGATCAAGGGGGCTTCATTCCAGAGATGCAGGGATGGTTCAACATACGAAAATCTGTCAGCGTAATCCACCATAAATACAAACTGAAAAATACAAACCACATGATCATCTAATTCGATGCTGAAAAAGCTTTAGACAAAATACAACATCCTTCATGATAAAGATCTTGGAGACAGCAGGGATACTCGGAGTAACTCTAATCAAACAAGTGGAAGACTTGTATGACAAGAACTTTAAATCTTTGAAGAAAGAAAATGAAGAAGACAGCAGAAAGAGGAAAGATCTTCCATGTTCTTGGATAGGTAGAATTAACACAGTAAAAATGGCAATCTTACCAAGAGCAATCTACAGATTCAACGTAATACCCATCAAAATCCCAGCAAAATTCTTCACAGATCTCGAAAGAACAGTACTCAACTTCATATGGAAAAGCAAAAAATCCAGGATAGCCAAAGCAATCCTGTACAATAAAAGGCATCACAATCCCTGACTTCAAACTCTACTACAGAGCTACAGTACTGAAAACAGTCTGGTATTGGCATAAGAACAGACGGGACCACCAATGGAACCAAACTGAAGACCCAGATATTAATCCACACACCCTTGAACACCTGAGTTTTTACAAAGAAGCAAAAAATATCAAATGAAAAAAGAAAGCATATTTAACAAATGGTTCTGGCATAACTGGATATCAACATGTAGAAGAATGAAAATAGATTCGTATCTATCACCGTGCACAAAACTCAAGTTCAAATGGATCAAAGACCTCAATATAAAGCCAGCCACAATGAACCTCATAGAAGAGAAAGTAGGAAGTACACTTGAATGCATTGGCACAGGAGATCATTTCCAAAGTATAACCCCAGTAGAACAGACACTGAGAGAAACAATTAATAAATGGAACCTCCTGAAACTGAAAAGCTTCTGTAACGCAAAGGATATGGCCAATAAGACAAAACGACAGCCTACAGAATGGGAAAAAATCTTCACCAACCCCACATCAGACAGAGGTCTGAACTCAAAAATATACAATGAACTCAATAAATTGGTCATCAAAAGAACAAATAATCCAATAAAAAATATGGTTACAGACCTAAACAGAGAACTCTCAACAGAGGAATCTAAAATGGCTGAAAGATACTTAAGAAAATGCCCAACATCCTTAACCATCAGAGAAATACAAATCAAAACAACTCTGAGATTCCATCTTACACCTGTAAGAATGGCCAAGATCAAAAACACTGGTGACAAAATATGCTGGAAAGGTTGTGGGGTAAACGGAACACTCCTACATTGCTGGTGGGAGTGCAAGCTGGTACAACCCCTTTGGATATCAGTGTGGCGATTTCTCAGAAAATTAGGAAACAACCTTCCTCAAGACGCAGTAATACCACTTTTGGGTATATATCCAAAGGATGCTCAATCTTGCCACAAGCACATGTGCTCAACTATGTTCATAGCAGCATTGTTCATCAATGCCTCTAGATCGAAGAATGGAAAAGGAAAATGTGGTACATTTACACAATGGAGTACTACACAGCAGAAAATATTATGATATCTTGAATTTTGCAGGCAAATGGATGGATCTAGAAAACATATTGAGTGCGGTAACCCAGACCCAGAAAAAGACAATTATCATATGTACTCACTCAAAAGTGGTTTTTAATCAGAAAGCAAAGAAAACCAGCCTACAAATCACCATCCCAGAGAACTTAGACCACAATGAGGACCCTAAGAGAGACATACATAGATCTAATCTACATGGGAAGTAAAAAAAGACAAGATCTCCTGAGTAAATTGGGAGCATGGGGACCATGGAAGAGGGTTAAAGGGGAGGAAAGAGGCAGAGAGGGGAGCAGAGAAAAACGTAGAGCTCAACAAAAATCAATCTATCAATAAAATATATACATTTATTGATTTTATACACACACACACACACAAAGAAACAATGGTGCTGTTTATGGAGCAACTGTGAGACTTACTACAAATCAGAAAGTGATGTCATAAACCATGGAACAGAGCACTGGAACCTGGGTATCTGCAGCATCCTGCCCCAGAACACCATAGCAATAGATATCTGGTCCAAGCAGGAAGTGGGACTGATGATCAGTCTTAGCTGAGATCAAGCATTGAGAAACCCTTCAAGAATTGACTAATGATTCCTAACTATGACATAAGTGGGAATCATATGTCAAAGGTAGAGCATGAAAACAATCTGAACAGACTTTCCTAAATGTTTTTTCCTATGGTGATCAGCAAATACCTTGTTACATACTTGAAGGTCTGCAAATGGGCGTGGAGACCAGACCAAGTTATTACACTGGCCCATGACTAGCACACCCAGTACTAGCCCTACCAGTCCAGTATCCACACATAACTGCAAGCATTTATCAGCAAATATTTGTATACAATATTTATACAAATAACACTCGTACAAATCCCAGTATACAGTGTGTTCTCTCTATATCTCCTCTCTTCCCTCTCTCCCTCTACCCACACCTGTGCACCCGGATGTAGCTCTTAGCTACTGCTCCAGTGGCATACATGCTGTCAAGCCCCCTGCCATGATAATGAGGGACTAACCCTCTGAAACTGTAAACAAGCCCCTAACTAAATGCTATCTTTTATGAGTTACTGTGGTCATGGGGTCTCTTCACAGAAATAGAACAGTGACTAAGTCAAGTACCTAATCTCAAGACAGCCCTCTCTGCAGCTATCCTGGAGCCAAGTTCTTTACAGAACAGAGAGCACCACATCTAGATTTTCTGAGACTCATCCATAAAGGTGGAAATTCTGACCTGCAAAATCAACACTCAGAAGGGTCTGTCTACCAGGATTGAATGAAATCCCAAGTTACTTCTCCCATGTCTTAAACTGAAACTCACACACTTATGTAAAATCAGATGCAGTCCTGCACCATTACTGTGTGCAGTTTGCATTTGATCCTGCACAGCATACTGACTATGGGACTTCCTCACTGATCCAGCTACAGAGAAACACAAGTTTCCAACAAAAACTCCACTTCACTGTGTAGGGTCAGCTCCACTAACTTAAGTGTTAGCAAGAAAACACTACAAAGCCAAAACACTGCAAGACAATTAGAAGAATCCTATAATAAACTGAATATTGTAAGTGACTAATGCTAATTTTTTCAAGTTAGCAAGACATGTAACATGACTGACTTATTATCAAAGAGGTCAGAATCATGCCCATGGAATACCAAAACCAAAAAACCTTTGGTGATCTCACAATATCAATTAGCAACCACCTCTCTAGCAACAAACCCCAGAACATAAAGTTTTTAATCTTGATGAAAAGTCAGACTGTGCACTAGGGTCATAGGGGATGACTTCATCTCCAGAAACATTTACAAACATTTATTACACTTGTCTGCTATGCCCACATAATAGACTGGCAGGAATATCACAAACCTCCTACAGCATGCAGTACTCCTACAGCACAGCATGCCAGTGCCAAGAGGGAAACGTGCTGTGTGCAAGACTCCTGAAAGAACAGTGCGTGTCAGAGCCTGTCCCTGCTCCAGAAACCTAGGCTCGTCACAGAACAAGTAAGGGAGGCTGCTTAGGGAGAGATGGCAGACAAGACAGAAGAAGGGAGGAGGGTAAAACTACAGTAAGGTATCTGAAAAAGCCACAAAGAATCACACACACACACACACACACACACACACACACACACACACACAGAGAGAGAGAGAGAGAGAGAGAGAGAGAGAGAGAGAGAGAGAGACCTAAACATATACATACACAGTTTAAAAGAAATAAAGAAATTTTTCCACCTGGGCTGACAATGAATGTCCCCCACCCCACAAGAGCCTTGACTACCTGACAAAAGCCCAACACCAGTCATTAGAAACCCTCTTTGGTCCAAGAGACCCAAAACATTATAGGCTATTGTTGTTTCCCTTGATTGTCCCCCAGAGATAAAAAATAAATCCCTAATGCTGAAGCCACCATGTACTTTGGACACAGACCCCAAAGGGGGACTAGTTTTATGTTATCAGAAGACAACATGCAGCTTAAAAAAAAGGAAGCAGCCAACAGCCTTACCAAGCTGTGATACCTATGAACCTCAACAATGACAGGCACAGTAAGATATCCCTAAAGGGGTTTAGTGGTACTGATATCTTGGGAGTACCAAGAACTGTCTAAATTGGACTTAAGGTCCACTCAACAAAAGAGAAATCACGCTTGGTACTAAGAACCTAGCCAACTACCTGGGGCTAGTGAAGTCATGGGTCATGGAGAAGAACCTTTTTCACTAAACCTGCTATTCTAACTACAGTCTTAAATGCTTTTCCTTATACTCATACAGAAGTATAACTCTCATCCCTTATCAAAGAAACTTCTCTTTCTAACATGTGGAGACCATTATAGTCAAGTGCAGTTATGGAGTCCAGTTCCAGCTGCTGCATCAACAACAGAACTCATGTATCTAAGGATCAGGGATCATTGTGGAAAGGGGGGCAGAGAATATAAGCGCCAAAGGAACAGGAAGTTTGCTGTGAGATGAAGTCTCCTAGAAATGTCAAAGAAGCTATGCCCATGAGTCTCACCAATGTGGCTGCTTAAACCATACCTGAACAAGAATGACACCCATAGACAAGCTAACAGGAACATGGGGAAGCTCACAAGACCTCAACCCCAAATAAAGAACTACAGGTAACTAAGGAATGCAGGAGTAGGAGAAACAGCTTTCCCAGGAAAGAGCACACCAATTAGCTATCCAACTCCAAATGGTCACCCCTGAAAACATACATACAATTAACATTATACAAAATGAGCAGTTAGTATTTATATATTTGGAACAGACACACACACACACACACACACACACACACACACACACACACACAATGATTAAAGAAAAATAGACCAGGTTGGAGAGATGACTCAGCTGTTAAAGGCTGACTCAAAACCAAAAATATAAGAAAAATAGAACATGAATTTGAGAGAAAGCAAGAAAAGGTAGATGGGAGGGTTGGGAGAGAGAAAAGGGAAAGGGGAAATGAAGTAATTATATTATAATCCCAAAATTTATTTAAAACTGAAAAATGTAATGTTAGAGCTGGGGCTAAGCATGGTGGAGTCTGCTTGGCATTTGCATACATGAGGCCAGTTCCAAGATTCAATCCCTAGCAACATGAAAAAAATTAATATACAGAATTTTTAAAAGCTGGGCATGGTCACATATACTTATAATCATAACATTTGAGATGCTGAGGAAGAAGAATTTGATGTTTGAGAACAGCCTGGGCTAGTGAGTTTGAGGCCAGCTTAGATTACTTAGTAAAACCTTGTCTTAAAAAAAGAAGAGAGAAAAGGTCATGTTGACAGGAAATCATTATCAAATGCTACCTAAAATGCACAGCCAGATTAGGAGGCAGGGTATGCACTTATGATTTATGAGTCTTCCAAAAGCAGGAAGAGCAGGCAAAAAAGCAAGTTTTCTACTTGTGAGTTAGGTGAGTCACTCTTTACAAGATCACCATTCTTTCATTGCTTTATTGCTCGGGCTGCCCTACACTGAACAATCCCTCAGATCACATGTGCTATGACCTGCCACAGTGCAGCAGATGACAGGATGTAAGTCCATCAGAGCAGGTGGGGTCCCCCGTGCAGATGAAGAAGCCCTGTCTAAAGGAGCTAACCTGGGAAGTGGACCATCTTGTCTTAAAATCCAGACTTTCACTGCTGCACCTAACCTGTCACTTCCTAACCTGTCATTAGGAATTGTGGTAATTTGAATAAGAATGATCCCCGTAAGCTCATATGTTTGAATGTTTAATCACTAGAGAGTGGGACCAGTTGAAAAGATTAGAAGAATTAGGAGGTACGGCCTTGGAGGACGTATAAAACACTGGGTTGGGCTTGGGTTTTAGGGTTTCAAAAGTTCATGCCAATCCCAGTACCTTCTCTGTCTGCAGAGGTAGCTCTCAAGTACTTCTCCAGCACCATGCCTGCTGCCATGCTCCCACCATGATGATAAGAGACTAAACCTCTGCAACTGTATGAAAGCACCTAACTAAACGCTTTCTTTTATAAGAGTTTCTGTGGTCATGGTGTCTCTTCACAGCAAAAGAACAATGACTAAGACAGGAACAATGACTGAACAAGTAAGAAACTTCATATCAGTTTTTGCTTAGAATATGGTAAACTAGAACTGAGCCGCTCCATTCTTCCCCAGGGAGGAGAAGGGAAGGAAAATTCTACAAAATCACAGCTTTTCTTAAATACATCAGGGAGCTAAGGCTGGCTAGGAAACACCTAATCAAAGAGGCCAGACTTCCAGGTAGAGATATGGGACAAACATGCTCAACCCGGAGAAGATGCTCAAAGTCACAACAAACCATATCAAATGTTTAACAAGCCACCAGGACAGCTGCTGCATGAGGCTGACTATGGAAGAGGGACAGGGCTCCACTCCCTAGCTGGGTGTTATACTGCCACATGGGTTTATTGAAATTCCCAGAACTTCTAAAAGATAAAAAGGAACTGGGAGAGTGTGTAAGACTGGAAGATCAGCTTGACAAGCAAGAAGAGCTGTAGACTGCTAGCCCACGGTCTCCACAGTGCTGCTGTACCCACTGAATGGCTCCAGGAGCTGAAAAGCACAAACTTCTGCGGCATCCACTTCAGCAATGCACCACCAGAGTTTAAAACCTTTTTCAGGCAAACCTACAAGTCTTCTTTTCACATGTACACTACTGTGATTTTAGCCAAGTGAGCCTGAATGATGGGCAACAGGCCGCTCTACCCTCTAGCTGACTGTCTGCCTCAAAGCTCACCAGCCAGAAATTCATGCAGTTTAAATTCTCAACCAGCAAAATGACAAAATACATGTATAGTAGACTTTTAAGGTCACTTTTAGAACTAATCAAATGTACAAATGCCTTCTTTTAAATATAGCCTTTAAGGCCTTGACACAGGAGGCTGAGACAGGTAGACTGAGAATATAGTTGCTATGAAGAATGATCAGAGAGCGGCCTTGCTTCAGACAAGGTGCCAGTCAAACCAGAATAATGAACTCTCAGCATCCACCCAACAAGAAACACCACTGGAGGCTGGAGACACGGCACAGAAATTGAGAGCACTGGTTGTTCTTCTTGGAGAGCTGGGTTTAATTTCAAGCACCCACATGATAGCTCACTCCAGTTCTAGAGGATCTAACAGTCCCTTCCGGTTTCCACAGGTACCAGGCATACATGACGGTGCATAGGCATATATACAGGCAAAAAAACCTATGCTGTAGGATAAAACAAAAATAAATCTTAGAAAATAAGTAAGTACCACTAACTTTTAAGGGATTTTTTTAAAATGTCAGCCAGGTATAGTAGTATACCTATAAATAATCTCTGCACTCAAGAAGTCGAAGCAGCAGGATTATTTCAAGTTTGAGCACAGTTTGTCTCAAATTTAAAGGAGTAGGAGGAGAAGTAGGAGTAGTCTACACAGGCCTTTCGTCATACCGATCTCAGTAAGAAGGTAACAACACAGGGCTGGAAAGATGACTCGGGACAAAGTACTTGCCACACAAGCATGAGGACTGGAGTTCAGACGCTCAGCACCCATGTAAATTCTGGCCAGGTATGGCAGCTTCCTGTAATCTCAGCACTCGGGATGCAGAGACAAGAGGTCGCTGGTACAAGCTGGCTAGTTAGACTAGCCAGAATCAGTAAGCTCCAGGTTCAAGAAAACCTGCCATGATCAATAAGGTGGGGAGTAAGCAAAGAAGATACCCACCATCAACTCAGGCCTCTATACATACACACACACACACTCTTGCACATGGACCTACACAAACATGTGAACATACATCATCATCATCATAATGCAAGGGGGAAAGGCAGTTTTTTCTCATATTAACAGCAGAAATCATTCTAACAGTACACAGGATACAACAGAGATGAAAGATCACTATTTAAGCACTTTGTCAGCCTCAGGAAAGTAGAGTTTCCATACCCACTGGGGCATCTCACCTACTGTACTAGGAATCACTAGTCTCTGGTCTATCTCTCACAAAAATGTTGAAGGTTTGGAATGTTACTGTTACTTTTTTATTTTTATTTTTTGAGATAGTCTTCCTATATAGTCCAGGTTGACCTCAAACTCTTAATCCTCCTGCCTTAGGGGCTCCTAAATGTTGAAATTGCAGACTTGTGCCACCATGCCAGCTCCTTTATAGTTTTGCTATGAAATTCTTTTGTAGCATTTCTTCAGTGATAGGTTCCATTTATTAGCTTCCAGGAAAAGTTCACTGAAAACACAAAGATTTTAGGATCCTTTAAGTGGAATTTAGTTTAAGTTTAGCTCACAGCTTTTGCTTTAGCCAGACATGAGTAAAACAGCAAGAATTCCAAGTGACAAGTATCTAAATGTACAATTTGTGGCTTTTATTCTTTTACTTCTCTGATGTATAAAAATAAGTACCAGCCAGGTGTGGTGGTGCACACCTTTAATCCCAGCACTTGGGAGGCAAAGGCAGGTGGATCTCTGAGTTTGAGGCCAGCCTGGTCTACAGAGTGAATTCTTGGACAGTCAGGGCTACACAGAGAAACCCTGTCTTGAAAAACCAAAAATAAATAAATAAAAATAAATAGCAATCAAATCAATCTGTGTTTCCTTTAGATCAGTTAGTTCTAATAAGTGATGGTGACCACAAGCCCTTGGGGCGCTTTTCCATACTGGAGACACCCAACACCTAGATCAACTACTGAGACAGACTCCAGGGTGAACATGGTGCTCCAGACACTGACACACACAAATCCCTAACTGTAATTAACAACCCTGATATATGGCACTATGTCTGAAAAGTTACCTACTTGTTACAATTCCAGCCAGTGCAAATACAAACTGATTCTCATCAGAATCAACCTCCCTGACGTCCCCATCCAATGACTTCACGAAACTCTCTATTGTCTGACCAGTGATGTTGAAAAACTTCAATGCTTTGTCCTGAAAGTTTAAAAATAAAAGAATACAAGTGTCAGATATTTCCACAGAAGCCAATGTAACATCACAAATGTGCAAACCATATAGAAGAAAGATTACCCCTAATCACAAAATAACATTCCAGTAACAAGTCTTATCTCCCATGCTGCAGTGCATGACCTTCACTCAATCAAGGGACCTTCCCTCCTAATACAAGCCAGACATTGATTTGACTGATTCTGTCTTCTTGAACTGTTCTTATGATTTTCTGCCATTTCTACCTATTCTTCAAGGTCCATTTCAAATTCCTCTCCTCATGAAGTTCCCTAACATACATACGTGTGTGTGTGTGTGTGTGTGTATGTGTGTATTAGACACAGATATATGCCAAATTTTTAAATTATATATTACTTATGAGGTAAAACACATATGAGCACTTTGAATGCTGTTAAATTTCTTATATATAAATATTAAAATGGTTAATATATCAAAAACTCCCCTTACGTGCCAGGACAGAAGGATGGTACCTCATTTTACACATCCTCAGAGCATCAGGTGACACAATGAACACAGCAGGCATCTGGCAATCATCTGATGAATGAACTAAAGCAAATTTACATCATGGCAGGACTTAGCAATCAATGTCACAGCAGAAGTGCTGTCTCTTTCAGGTCACAAGACACATTCAACAGTGCCAGACAACTTACTCCTCCCAGAATGGCTTTGACGACTTCCTCACTGCTGGAGACTCCCCAGAGGAGCGTACAGGTAACTGCTCCCATTTGTGTACAGTACTCTGCCTGCTGGAGGAGCTGCTGTTTCGCCTCATTCAGCTGCTGTCGAAGAGCCAACTTCTCCTAAATTCACAACAAAGTAGAACAAGATGACAGAGAGCTAGCATTCAATCTCAATAATCTCTATTACATGATCTTTCACAATGATACTTATTAGAGAGAAAGCATTCAGAATTCTAGAAAAGAGCTTCAAGTAGAATATAGCTCTTACTGAGCCACAATTCACACCTAAACAGTAAAGTTCAAAGTTTAGAGAAGATCACATGGCTGCTTTTCAGCTTATGGATAATTGTGAAGAGCTAAATTCATTCATTCAAGTAAAGAGAAAACTAGAGGTGGCATGTGTGCCAAGCGACCACACCCAGAGCAGCACCACCAGACTCAGAAGCAAAGCAGCAACCTAGCGTGCAGCCTAGACTGCACAGCACTTCTAATCAGGGAGCCTGCCATGGCCAGCATTCACTCTACTGACAGACACAACACTGAGTTTAGCAAAAGAACTGTACAAAGTCTCCTAGGCCAGCGGGTCTCTACCCCTTTTGGGTGAAATGACACTTTCACAGGGGTCACCCAAGACCATTAGAAAACACGGATATTTACACTATTATTTTTAACAGTGTTATGTGAACTTTTACTTTTTTGGCTTTTTTTTTTTGAGGGGGAGGCGCCATCCAGCTCCTAAATAAATCACACGCGGAGGCTTATTCTTAGTTATGAATGTCTGACCTTAGTTTGGCTTGTTTCTTGCCAGCTTTTATTAACTTCTATCATCCCAACTACCTTTTGCCTCTGGGCTTTTATCTTTCTCTATTTCTGTATACCTTTCTTTCCTTCTTTCTCGGTGACTGGCTGGTGGCTGGGTTCTGATGTCATCCTCTCCTTATTCTCTTGTTTCTCCTTCTTTCCCACACTTCTCCTTCTATTTATTCTTTCTGCCTGCAGCTCTGCTCCTGGCTCACTATTGACCATTCATCTCTTTATTAGTACCATCAGATGTTGTAGACAGGCATAGTAACACAGCTTCACAGAATTAAACAAATGCAGTGTAAACAAAAGTCACACATCTGAAAATAATAGTCCCCAACATAAAAGTAGCAAAATTATAGTTATGAAGTAGCAATGAAAATAATTTTATAGTTTGGGGTCACCACAGCATGATAAACTGTATTAAAGAGCTGCAGCATTAGGAAAAGTGAGAGCCACTGCTGTAGGCAAACTATGAAGAAGCCCCCATGACTGTCATCAAAGATGCTGGAAAATATGAAAAGCATGTGTGGCTGTGAAATGACACCAGAATCAAACACCAGACCTAACACCAGGCAAGAAGCTGTGAAGGTGGGTACCCCAGATATGCTCAGGCCCAAAATCATGGATAACAAGGCCATGCATGCCAGGGAAGGTTTCCTACCCTCCCTACAGCAGCTCCTAAGAACACCTAAAGCTAGGCTAGTCTCTGGCAGGACCATTAAGGGAAAAAGGGAACCATTCTCCTGATTACCCTCACATTAATACAGCCTAAGGAGTTCTCTAAGGAGGTCAATACAAGCTTCCCGTCCTCCCCAGTGACCATGTTTCTCTAGTGCTAAAACTCCCTCCAAGGAGATAGCATTTCCTGAGAGACGAACTGGGATGGGGTATCGCTCAGTTGTAGAGCACTTGCCTACCATACAGGAGGCCCTGGGTTCCACCCCCAGCACCACTAAGAAGAGAGTAATAAACTGGAAAATATAAAAACCTAGGCAAATTCATTTCTATCAAGCATAAGTAGTAAAACCACAATTTAAACTACGCTAGATAGCTGAGGTGGTTTTTAAATTATTATTTTAAAGAAGTCAATATTCAATAATGAAAAGAAAGGGGCTTTTTGCCTGGTGTTCCAAGAGAATGAGAGGTGGGTGGGGAATTCCCAACATCTACATCATGGTTAACAATGCCAGTACTCCAGTTCCAGCACTCTCTTCTGACCTCCATGAGTACCAGGCTCGCCTGTGGTACACATAAATACATGCAGGCAAATCATCCACGCATATATAATAAAAATAAAATAATTCTTAAAATCAAAATATAAACTATGTTTTTCATGTCTGACTTAATGATACTGCAGTCTGGATTCCTAGACTGTCCTTCACACTATGTAACTGAGCTGACAAAGTAACGGGTATGTTTACATGAATCATTCCACTCTGTTCTCATTTCTTCCTCCATCACATCCACCGTCAATATCAGAGAAAAACAAATATACCATGCTTGCTTGCTTCTTCTCAGCTAGCTTTCTGAACTCTTTGTCTGTCAAAATTAGACAATTTTGAATCCAGGCAATGAAATGGTACCATCTACATTCAGGGTGGGTCTTCCAACCCAGCTAAATTAAGGCAACCAGGACAACTCTCCAAAGACCTGAACAGATCTTGACAACTGCCACTCTCTTCCCAGGAAATTCTAGGTGGCAATATTACAACAGCATACTTGTAAACTACCATGCCTTTTAAACTTACTGAAAGCATACTGGCAAAGGGGAGGCCCTCCCTTGTCTCAGACTCCAATACGTTTATATTAAATGTGCTCCAAGACCTCCTGAACTAGGTCTGTTCCCTCTCCAGAACTCTGTTGCGGGGAGAAGGAAAAACAGCAAGTAGTTGTGTCCTGGAGAACAAAGAACAAACCCTTTCCAACAGAGGTTATTACTGTTCACCCCACAGTATAACATGCCTGCAATGGAACTAAACGGAGAGCCTTCCAACCAGTAGCTCCAGCGCCTGTTTTCTCCCCAGTCCATTTCTGCTAAGTGTTGCCAGATCCACTGGACGACAGTACCTTTGCTCTCAATCAGGCTACACCAGTCACATTTGATGATGTTATCTGTTACTACTGTTTGCTCTTTTACTTTTGCTTGCTACATACTTAATAAACTCATTTATCTGAAACTGCAGGTACAGAACTTCTAAAACATGTCAAAACAAAACCATGATCCATTTTTTAAATGGATCAGTAAGGTAAATTTTTAAACTCCAACCAGGCATGGTAGTACACACATGTAATCCCAGCACTCAGGAGCCAAAGGGTTCAAAGCCAGACTGGACTACACAGAAATAGTCTATCAAGCGGAGTTGGGGGAGGGAAGCCATAGGCTAAGAAAAACTGTATCATATATTTATTTATATTTATAAAAGGTTCCAGATCCACTGATTGAGTCACTCAAACTCAGTACTATCTCTTGCTCACACTGATGGAGGAGGGTTATCTGTCTATTGTGTTATTTTCATTGGTCAATAAAGAGACTGCCTTGGCCCCTTGATAGGACAGAAAATTAGGTAGGCGGAGAAAACAGAACAGAATGCTGGGAAGAGGACTATGAGGCAGACGCCATGGAGCCAGTCACCAAGTCAGACATGCTGAATCTTTTCCGGTAAGCCACCACCTCGTGGTGCTACACAGATTTTTAGAAATGGGTTAATCAAGATGTGAGAGTTAGCCAGTAACTAACTTTCTAGAGATAATGGGCCAGGCAGTATTTAAATGAATACAATTTGTGTGCTATTATTTCCAGGGCTAAGCTAGCCGTGCGGGAGCCAGGTGGGATGAAAAGCAGGCCTGCCCGCAGCTCCCTCACTACACCACACAGCAAGCACTTTACCAAATAAGCCATCTCCCCAGCCCAAGTATAGTAATAATTTAAATAGCATTTACAATGAATTAGATAGCAAAAATAATCTGACAAATTAAGGCCTGTAAGTGTAGGCTGTATGCAAATGCTACACTTTCTCTTGGAAGGGTCCTGAACACCCTAAGACTACCCACAAGGGGTTCTGGAGCTGATTCCCCTCAGATACTGAGGGACAACTGTATCTGAAAGAAGACAACTACTCCAATCAAACAGGGAAGAAGTGTTTAGGTTCTATGTATGCTACAAGGGGAGAAAAGGCATCATTAGTCTTATTCAAGACTAATGTGACCCCTCCAAGCTAGACCCACTGGTCCAATAGTAGCACAAATGTTATGGGGGTAACTTTCTGATTGTATTTCAATTTCACTCCACAAGATGAAATTATTTCCCAGTACTGAGGCCTTAAGGAAGAATAGTATTACTATTCTGTTGAATGGACATAGTAATAAACTGCCCCTAAGTTCTTTTCTTTGTACCTAAACATTAGTGCATCTCTCAACCTGCACTAACAAACTTCTTTTTGGAGAATATGGCAATTGAGACTTACAATTGGTCAGCATGCAGACTGTAGAGTGCTCAACCCTAAACAGGATATCCATATTACACACACATATACACACAGAGAGAGAAGGAGAGGGAGAGGGAGAGAGAGCACTCAGGGACCACTGTGGAAGAGGGAACAGAAAAAATTTTAAGAACCTGAAGAAGTAGAGTTTGTAGAAAACAGTATCTGCTGGACATGACAGTGCAGCTGCACACATGAACTCATGGTAGCTGGGGCTACAAGCACAGGGCTTGCACAAGGTCAAGTCAGACAAGATTCCAACATGGATGAGGAGGAATTCATAAAATCCCACCCCTAACTGAAGAGCTCTTAGCAGCTGGTGGCTGCTGAAGGAAAGAGAATCACTTTTCTCCCGGGATATGCTGCATGAGAGACTACTCTTTGTAGATGGAGACTGCTCTTTCATTTCCCGGCTGCCCATACCCGAATAATCACACAAAACTATGTTAATTACAACACTGGTTGGCCCATTAGCTCAGGCTTCTTATTAACTGACGCTTACATCCTTAATCTGTGTATCAGCACAAGGCTGGGGCTTACTAGTAAGGGTTCAGCATGTCTCCTTTGGCTACATGGTGTCTCCTTGACTCTGCCTACTCTCTCCCTGTATCTTTGCTTAGTTCTCCCACCTAGTTCTTTCTGCCCTGACATATGTTGAAGCTGATTTATTAACCAATGGCAATAAAACATGTTCATATCATACAGAAGGGAATCCCACAGCCGTTCATGCTCCTATAAATTGTCTCATAACCATGCACAGCCAGACAACATTAAATGAACTCAATGGGTATTAAGAGAAGGGGGGGCATGTGAGAGCAAAAGAGCATGTGCAAG